CTGGCATTGTGGGAGGTTAAGGTAGGAGGATCACAAATTCCAGCACAGCATAGTGAGACCTTGTTTCAAAATTAAAAATTTAGAGTTGGAGAGATTGCTTAGTGCCAGGACCCTGGGTTCAATCTCTAGTGCTGCAGGCACTGCACTTAAATTCATAAAGGTTTTACAAAGTCTAGAATTTTAAACCTAAACTAATTTCAAATTTTTAATTGATAAAAGGACTCTTCCTCTTGTCTTTTTGGAAATAAATTGTACCTGATTAAATGCTCTAATTTTAAATTTGCTGTCTTCTCCTAAGTTTATGTACCCATGAAATCACCATCACATCAAAATATACTTTATTATCACACTATAATGTTCCTTTGTTCAGACAACCTTTCCAATATTCACTTAAGCTACTACTGAAATGCTTTCTCTCAACCTAGTTTATATTTGTCCTTTCTATGTTTTCATACAAATCAAATCACAACACATGTACTGTATTCATCTATCTTATTTCACCAAGATTAATTTTTTTTCACATCTGTTCATACTGTTGTGCATTTCTGCAGTTCATTCTTACATTGCTCTGCAATGTTCTACTCCAAGGACATATTGCAATTTGATTATCTGTTCATCTTTGATGAACATTCAGTAGCTTCCAGTTATTGGCTATTGAAGATCTGTGGACAAGTTATTGTGCGGAAACATGTACATATGCATGTAATTTGGTAACACCTTGAAAGGCAATGTATAGATCACACTGTAAATGTGTTAAGTTCATAAGCATTTGTTAAGTTGTTTTAGGAAATGATGGAACCATGTTACATTCCTGTAATTATATGAGTTTTAATTGTACCACTTCCTCTCCACACTTGTTTTATTAGTTTTTCTAATTTTAGCAGTTGTGTGTTTTTTTTTTTTAAACTCTTAGGCAAGTATAGAATTTGATAACACAGGTATTCATCTGTCCCATGTACATTATGATTATGGTAGTTCTTTTTATTAGTTTGCAGGCTTAATTCATACCTGGATAAAGACCAATATTGTCAAGAAAAGAAACAGAATTGACAATAAAAAAAAAATTTAGGTGTATCACATGCAACAAATCACACACTCATAATGGGAATAATATCAACTTTACAAGGGTAAAAATGAAGTATGGGGGTAATGGATTTCATTATTCCAATGGATTTAGGCTTTCCAATACTCAAAGAAATCATATTCCTCACTACTTAGCTTTAATTGGGCTTTATTAGCTGTTACCTAAGTGCGCTGGCACCTGGAGATCTCCAGAAAACATGCAAAAGGAAAGTTGTGAAGTTGTGGTGGATAGATGGGAATGGTGGGCGCATGACTGCTGCTTTTGCAATCTCAAAATCACTCAGCAGTAGAGACCTATCTGTGACCTCTGCTGTGATTGGTTGCCTTGCGCATACTGCATATGCAGGGTCCTTTGTTTTTGAGTGTGACTTGAGCATAGAAAATTAAATAATTTAAGTGAAATTGTTTATATTTTATTATTAACCCTACAAAACTTACACATAAAATGATTATGTTAAATGCTGACAGGATAAAAGTTGACAATATCTGAATTAACATCAATCAGATAAAGTTAATAGTAGTTGTTCTCGCATATCCAGCGAAGTTACAAGTTAAATTCTCTAAATGTTTTAAATAATTATTTTAAAAATCAAGAGAAAGGGACTGGGGAGAAAAGAAGAATCAAGACATACCATGTACAGGTACAAATTCTCTATCATTATATACTTTTAAAATGCACCAATAAAATTTTTAAAAGTTAATTTTTTGGTAAAATGATTTGAGGTATGTAAAAAGTTTTTATTTGTATTGTTATATATTCATAACAATTGCTAGTTTGTACATGTAATTTGACATACCACTGTTTATATAAATGTACTACCTTAACGTTTTATTTCTCAGGAAAAACCCGTTATTCATTTCTGTGAATTAACAGATTTATTTTCTGGAAGTATTGAGGACTGAACTCAAGGTCTCTGCAATAAATTAGATCCCTAGCTCTTATTTTTGATTGTGAGACGAGGTCTTGCTACATATGTCTCTCAGTTGGCCAGGTCAGTCTACAATTTGTAATCCTTACGAATCAGCCTCTCAGTATATGAGATTACAGGGATACACTAATACATCTTAGATTTAAAATTTTTAATTTAACTTTTAACTTATAGTTTGTTGTTGTAACTTATATTGAAAAAAAAGGAAACTTTATACTTCACTCTGATTTGTAAAGCTCTAATACACAAGCCGTCCATAAAGAGATTTAAGTTATCATCTGTGGCATTAAAATTTCATGGTGGGAGTGAGTAGGAAAGTATGAATGAGTTCTTGGGAAGGGCATAATGAAAAAGATTTAACAGCAGTACAATAAGGGAAACTAAAATGGTACTTTTTTATCTTTATACTCATATGACTACATATAAAGTTATAACTTAAAACTATAAGTTATTTTAACACTATGTTATACACATACATATTATATAATGTATATATATGTATTATATGTATGCATATAATATATATATATAGATATAGATATATCATGTATATGAGTTGGGATACATTTCTTATTTTATTTGGTGGTAAAGAAAACATTCTAAAAAAAGAGAAAAATATAAATCAGATTTGGACACTAATGACAGCAGGTCTGTTCTTTGGTGACTGCCATTTTACGATCCTAAGGACCTCACAAAGGGTTCAGTATTTCATTCAGTTCTCTCCAGAACTTTGTACATGGTGCTTGCTTTATCTGCAAAATAAGACAAACAATACTGATCTCACAGAAAATTTTTTGTGAAGATTAAATAATACAGTGTAAGTTAAGACTAAGAACAGTGCAATGGATGGATGATTTTTGAGACTTTTTAGTTAGATATTATGGAAGACTACCTAAAACACTCTCCCACTCCAGTGTCACAGGCAGTATTTATAGTCACTGAGGAAGCCATATAAGGGCATGTTACAAATCTGGTAATTGCTCTAGGTATTCAAGAAGCAACAGTCACTGTGATATTTTAACTAGAAATGCTGGAAAAAAGACATTCACCTGAACTCTGAGAAACAGGTAGAGTTCTGGAAAGGCAAAGAAAAACCGAGAACTCATTTCAATCTAGGGAAGAATAGAAACAAGACATAGGGCAGAAAATGCATTTGGTGTTCAGGCAATCAGATTTTCTGAAACAGACTTGGTGAATAATGAAAGAAAACAGAGAAGAAAGGCCAGTAGGAGTGAGAGAAAGACTTGATCCTAGAAAACTGGTATTGACACCACTGCACTAATTCAAGCATGCACACAGAGTACAGTGCATGAAGGATGCAAGTGACGAAGATGAACTGCAAACTCAGGAGAGAAATGCTCTCTCTTCCTTCCTCAAAACAGCCAGCCGTGTTTGGATGGGATAAAGAAGTCATGAATGGCAACTGTGTGATTCCAAGGCTTCAAGGAATAAAAGGCAATACTGCGATGAATAGTGGAAAAATAAAAAGGACTTGATCAATGTTTGCTTTTGTTTTTGCACTCAGATATACTACAATTACATAGCAATGTAAGATAATTTAGGTGAAATACTGGTAGCAGTAGTGAAGACAGATCAGATCTTCAAATGTGATTTTGGAAATCATGAGAACAGAGACGATGGCTGAAGTTCTCAGAATGGCGGAGCTGCCGGAGAAAAGGGCTGAGAAAAGAAATCGAGGGACTCCTAGGACTGCAGAAAGGAAACCAGGCCTCGGATATACTTCTTAGTGCAGGTGTTTGCTGTCCCTTCTACATCAGCATGAATTTATTCAGAGATGCCTGGAAGATTCTGTCTGCTTCATGACCAGAACAGATTTTTGTCACTCAAATTAGACTATCCTTACGTTTTTGTAACAGAGTCTGTGGATAGGTCCTCTCACCTGCCACAGTAAGTAGAGCAGTGTGAACAAATTCAGTGGGGAAAATCACTATTGGGATATTATCTTTACTGCTGAGTTGCCCAAGGCGCAAGATTTTCTCAAATTGTTGTAATACATGTTTTTCCATCAATTTATTTACATTTAAGAAAAATAAATGGAATTATATGAGCTTTATTTAAATGTACATTCCACATGCATTGGAAATCGTAAAAACAAACAGCAACATTTCTATTTAAAGGTAGAAATTCCCTAGGGTTCAAAGGGTGTTGCATACTGATTCAGTGTAAACTTCTCACAGGGTGAAGATGTAATGCTTTCTTTATCTCCTCCTCAGTGATCAATTTCTGGTTTTGGTCAAAATTTTAAAAAAATGATAGAAATGCAACTTGAATAACAAATGATAGTTTGAAGGTTAATGTGTAATAATATGATCAGAAAAAGTCTTTCAAGTAATAAAATACTGCTTCAAAAATCAATCTTTGCAGAAAAAAATAACTGGTGATCTAACTATCTATCTATCTATCTATATCTATCTCTACCTACCTATCTAATTTCAGTTATATTGTTAATTATACAAAAGAAAATACAGGGGCTGGGGATTCAGCTCAGAGGCACAGGCACCTGCCTTGCAAGCATGCAATCCTGAGTTTGATCTCCGGTACTGATTAAAAAAAGAAAATATATGAAAGAAATGACATGAAATTATAAGAAAAACAACTGAGCGCTAAAAGCTATAAATGTATTTGTTTATAGCTATTCTTTAATTAAATCTTATCAAACCTAAATGTTTTAAACATTAACACTGTTTATGAGTTAGCACACCTATTTTCATGAATGCCAAATCAACTGGGATATCGAACAATGGCATAAACTAGTGTGATGTGTTATTTCATAGAATTATTTTCTTCATATTGCCTTGCCTACAAAATGGGCTTCTGTTTTGGTTTAATTTTATTTGCATAATGTACTATAATGTGATGCAAAACAAAATAAATTTCACAAAACTTCTTTTAATAAACTTATGTATACTTGAAAATGATTTTATATTAATAGAGGATGCAGAAAGAGTAGGTTTAATTCATACTCACTGTGGCAATGCTGATGGCAGGGAACGTCTAATAATGGAATGAACTTGTCTGTAAGCATCCAGTTTAGACATGCATCGGCAGGAAGTGTGATTGGCAAAACTGATTGTTACTGCTTTGGGGTTTTGAGAGAGAGGCACTGTAATTTCAAACAACTACAAAGAAGGGACAAAAAAGAAGAAAAAAATTATATAGATGCTACAATTCTGGTAAATGTTGGAGTCCAAAAAGAGCGAGATTAGCTCTTTAAGACTAGGTAATGTTGCATAACATATTCAGGAGACTACTTTTTTGTACGATTACAGTGTAAAAACTGCTCTTAAACAATATCTCTAATGAAAATAATTATAAAACTATCTCACATCACTAGTTCTGAAATATATTAGAATTATGATACCCAACTAACAAATACAGAATAGCAATGTCACATACCAATGTGTTCAAGGAAAAGTAACTTTTTCAGAATTCCAATTTATTTAACTGCAAAATTTAAACTATCCAGGAATTTAAAAAGTGGCACTTATCATGTCTATGAACAGCCACGTGATTTAATAGTAAAGTTACTGGCCACATAACCTGGAAACAGTTGGCTAAATCCTACTTATGGGAACTAAATTCATAAGCATAAATTTCATCCAAGTAAGTTAATTTTCATCCCAAATTAATCTTCTTCTCAAAGTAGTCTTTTACAAGCTTCAGCTATCTCATGAATTTATTATACTTAAAAAACAAACCATCAGTACTTTATAATAAAGCTGTTTCTTCAATCCTAGTAAGGCCTTATGAAAATGAGTTTAAAATAAGATAGAGCATCTTACATGATTCTGTAGTAGAGTCTTAAAATTTAGTTAACTGAAGTTTCATGCTGAGGGGTTTATTTACACAGAAATTGAGTGGTCCTCCATAAAACAATGTTTTAAATCAAACACACAAATTACTGATGAAGCAAAATCAAGTGAATTTAAATTGCTTAGGTTAATCTCTAAATTATTACCAGTTAAAATGATAAAAGTGGAATTATGTCCATTAACTGTCTGAGAAGATAAATTTGTAGTAGTGTAACAATAACTGAGCCAGGTCTTACTAGCCTTAAGGCGAACTGAGACGTGCTAAAATGAGTGATACAACCCACAGCCTTGAATGGCCCCTGCTAGAGCTGCATGCCACGTATTGAAGATCACTGAAAATACTGAGGGGGACAGAAGCAGTTGCCAATTTTGCCCGTAACAACTGATTTTTCAAATGAATTTTAAACAATGAAATACTGTCATTGCGACAGCATCGATAGAACTAGAAATCATGTTAAGCAAAATAAATGAGGCACAGAATAAGTACTCCATGATCTCACTCATATGTGGAATATAGTAGAATTGATTTCATCGATATTAAGAATACAGTAATGGCTGGGGAGGCTTGGGAGGGTAAAGGGAAAGGAAAAATGGGAAGAGGTTAATCGATGGGCACTAAGATGTACATCGAAGTAAGAAGTTCTAGTGTGCTACTATATAGCAAAATGAGTACAGGGAGTGATTATGCACTGGATGCCTCAACAAGCTGAAAAAAAAGGTTTTGAATGTTTTTGCTAGAAAGAAATAATATCTACTTTACAACACAGCTATGTTTTACCTAATTGTACAATGTATACTTGCATTAGAAATCATACTACATGGTTAATATACATAACTTTTTAACTTTTATATTGTTACTATAAATCTAATTAATGAAAAAATGAATTCCTAAATTACAAGATATACCTTCTATTCATTGCACATTCACTGAAAAATTTAGTTCTTTTATTAGCACAAGGACAACATGTTTTAGGACAAATGGGAACAGGATCATCTCCAGACAAAGCAGGTTTTTTTTTTTTTTTTGATCTCTCTCATTTCTAAATTGCGTGAACTTGGAAAAGTGATTTAACCACTGCTAGCTGTATTTTTCTATCAATAAACAGCAAATCTGACACATTACTCATGGGATGGTTAAAGATTACACAATCTAATACATATGACAGTGTTATGTACATTGCCACACAGATGTTATTTTTTTACATAAATTCTCCAAATTCTAGCTATTTTCCAGAATACTGTCAATCTGACATAGATAACCCCAATGCAGGACTCATATGTCAGAGATAAGATTTTAACCGATTATTCTAATGATATTTGTTTGTTTGAGTAAAAGTTTTTTATTAGATGAAATGGTAGTTCTTTGCATTACAAATAACTTTTGTAACAGAGAATTTTTGTAACATCCAAATGTATTAGAATTTTTCTCTTTCTTAGACGATCTATATGAAGAATTAGCACAGAGAAGACAGAAAGTGATACAAAAGAACTTTTAAATTTATTCTCCCTTATTCTCTCTCACTCTCTTTCTCTCTTTCTTTCACTTTTTCTTCTCCCTCCCTACTTTTGTTTTGAGGTGCCAGCTATAGAACTCAGAGTCTTGCACATACTAGGCAAAGGTTCTCCCACAAAGTCATTTACCCAGCCCTTAATGTTGTTGTTTATATGGTTTATAATTAGAAGCATTTATACACTGAAATAGTGTCAATGGCAGGAAATTGCACAGATCAGCAAACAAAAGTTCAAGAATTTATATCTAATAGGTAGATGTGTTCAGAGCTCTAGGAGAGCCATATAACCACATAACTTGTAAAGTGTTGGACACTGATGCGATTACTGAGAAAATTTGAAATGAAAACCAAAAAGGTCAAAAATAGAAAGTTGGGAAGCTGGAACATAAAGGGGTGAAAAGAAGCCAATAAACATGGAGAATGAAAATTAAAAGAAAATATAGTTAAAAGAAGTCAAAGAAAGAGAAGAAAGCGTAAAAACAAACAAACAAAAAACAACAACCTGTACAGTCATAGGATAAATGTCTCTGGGATACCAAATACAGTAAGCACTGATAGGAGATGAGGGTCCCCGAAGTGGCTAGAAGGGCTGTGAGTGGGCAGAGGTGCTAGGACAAGAGCAGCAGGAATGGAGGATGAGGGGTGCCACACGACTGGAGAGATGGGACTCGGGATGGCTCAGGCCACCAGGAATGCTGTTGCTTATAGAATGATTGTGATAGTTGCAAGATTTGGCATGGTTTCATGTGACAGAAGGCAGCAAAGATCCTGACAGTGCAGGATACATCATTATTTGAGATAACAGTATCTAGAGAGTTGACATTTTACTGCCTTTCACCCCTGGCAACATCATTCCTGCTCCCAGTGATGGCTGCCATGCCGGGTCCCAACCTGATCTGTTTCCCAAAGAAAAACAAATACACAATGAGCACTATGCACCCCAAGCATCTTCTATTTCTGGGTGGATAGCATCCACACTTAAGAGTTTTCCAGCAATATCAAGACTGGATTTAGAAATAAGGACCGCCACTGAGCTACATCCCAATCTTTGAGTTCAGTTAATCTGATCAAAAAGATCCAAAGTAAAAACCCTCTTGAAACAAATCCTCCATCTTCATGTCTTGCCCTGTGTTTTTCAGTTTCCTTAACTCTCTATTGACTATGTAGAAAAATGTCAAGGGTCCTAAGAAACGTGCGCTTGGTCAATATGAAAAGTAGAAAGATTGCTAATAATTGAGTTTTATTTATCTACCTGAAAACATTAGCAAAAGCTACTGAGACTATACCATGTATGTGTGTACATTAGGACATAACTGCATTTAGGCTTACTCTTGTCATATACTCATCATATACTGTTTAATTTCATAATTTCTTTCTATACCAGACTGCTATGTATATGCTTATTGATTCATTTTTCCACGTAACTGATTATAAAGTTCCCACTATTTCTTTAATAAATACAGTAAATTTTTTGTCTATAAACCAATTTTTCAAGTCATAGCTATGTTTATAGACTATGTTACTAAAGATGTATCCAGAAATACAGATAAAGCATGCTTACTATATATTTTTAAACTAAAACTAAGTAAAAATTATGAAAACATTTAAAACTCATTGGCTCCCTTTCAGAGTAAACACACAGAACTTGTCAAATACTGTAACTAGCAATTATCCTATTTGGTTATCTCCTACTACAGAAGAATAATCGAGGGCTTAGTTTTAAAAACCAGACATTAGAGTCCTGGATGTGCAACTTACTACTCTGATAGAAAAAATTATCTAATCTAAGAGTCCATTCCCTACGAGTACCAATTATAGTGGTGTGATTCCATGATGGTTAGTTTGGATTCTTCTTCCTTCTCTTTATTACATCCTTGTGATCATCAGCCAAAAATGAGTTCAACCTTTCTAAGGAAATTCTGAAATTTTAACTTTCAGCTTAAAAACTTTTCCTTGTTTAGTTTTAACAGTGACTCACTGGTTCCCAAGCTCCTTGCTAGAATCTCTGGTTAATAATCATGAATGACTACTGCTTCTACGCAGCTCACAGTTAACTAGATTAATGATGACAGTAAAAGTGAATGAGAAGGCAGACAAATATAGAATCTTTAAAATACCACCTTACCATAAATGCTCTCAATAAACAATAACCCTCAATTTAACTTCCATATGAAACATGCTAATATACAAGTATATGAAACAACTCACTAGCTATAATTTTCTCTCAACAGAGTCAAGATTTAGCCAAACAAACTGGTGTTAGAAACAATAGGATTGTTATTTTTTGGTAAAATGTGAGCCCTTAAGGGGCTCTGATCACTCTGACTGATACCACAGTCAGACTATTTTGTGCTTTAACCTGTGCATAACAGTATTTTAAAATTCTACATCTAAGTTCATAGCCTAGAAAATGTATGCATTCAGCATTAGCTGATAATTCTATATATTTTTATTTAATACATATTGATATATAATTTACTTGATAATAAAATATAATTCAGTACCTTGAAAGTGATTTTCCTAAAGTTTCTTGAACATTTGAATTTGTATCTACTTTAGGATTTAAGTAATAATGAAATGTATATAGAGACTGATGTCATTTACTTTTATATACAAATAGTAGATGAGTTCTTGGTTTTGAAGATGAGCAAAGACTTATACAAAGAAGGCATTTCCATAGGGCTGAAAATAGTGAAATCTGATTTCATAATTCGTAAAACTGTAATAAACAAGAGGAGACAGCAAGAATTTCCAACTGTACACTCCTGGTTGTTGCTTATTGGCATTCTTAAATAA